TGGAAGGGAGCTTAATATTTGTAAGCATTCACACTAGCCCTAGCAAAATAAACTCATTGAAAGTATACTTAAGAAAATCTCCATCCCAAATTAATCAACTGAGTCACTGGTAATAGAATATACCATAAAACCCCTGTATCTAGTTGTCTTCCAAAAAAAAACAAAGTAAACGTCTTAAACTTGTGATTCAAATGTAGTTCTTGCACATTTATTGCTTTGAATTGAAGCTGCAGATAAAGAGAAATAATTCAAGCAGTTTCTGTTTTCAGTTCCTGATTAGATTAATTCACATTTATTTTTTGTTTAAACGTAGTGTCTCGAGACCATCAGTAAATCAGTTGCGAGATAGATAAATAGATAGATAGATAGATAGATAGATATATCACTTCTCTATGCTGAATCTGCTGAATAACGATAACATCTTCATGCGTTTCTTTTTTGAATAGTCAATAACCATCGCCACCGGTCTCCGATTGATTGATACTCATATCGTAAAGGGTCCCAGAGGTTTCGGACTGATCTTGGCAGAAGTTATAGTCGTGGCACCCGCACACTTCGTAGAGCGCATCTACCCGGCGGACGAGACAAGAGAAAGTGCGTCACTTGGCTCTTCTTCGACAACCGGTCGCCTATTGGGACATCATCACCAGCGCCTTTTGCAGGTTCGTCAGGTGGCTGAAACAGTCATTTCAGCGTCTTCACATTCGACAAGTCGGATCGCAGAAACAGCAGCTATGGCCACAAGCTCGAGAGACGCCATGGTGCAACCTGGCGACATACTTTTGGCTCTTGATGGTCAAAAACTGACAGGCTGTTCTTCTGAGTATGCAATTAGGTCAGTTGGCTTGAAACGAGGACTCAACTATAACGATGCTCAGTTTAGGTCTGCTCCAATGGTGAAAGACCTGATTCTTTTCTCCAAAGTCCTATCATTTCATTGATTTTAACTTATCATTCCTGAAATATAGTCCTTAATTCAGAATCAGCAGATCCTGATCGGCTTCGAAATCGTATCTGGTCTGTGTCAAGCAGGTAGAATTCACATCTTAAAGAACACCCAAGAATATAAATGGAGGAGAAATCTTTTCGAAAAATAGCCATTTGCGAGGGTGTCCTCCCGTTTTACGTCTTGACACAATGAGGCTGGGTACGAGAAAGTCGGTTTTCGTGGACCATAGAATCTTTGCATTTACTAGGCTGAAAAAAGGTTGTGAATCTTGGGAGGTTTCGATGGTCGGTGTATAAGGCATGGATACCGAAAATCGAGCACAACGTAACCAGAAATGCAGCATGCCTTCTGAAATAAACAGATGTATCTAGAATTGGTAGGCCCTTCTATGAGATGAGGCACAAAGAGCGATTTGCAAGATGTCCCTTATAGCAGGAGGCAAGAGCGTCGACTTCAGAGAAAACGGTTGGAATGTTGCACAATCTCATACTTTGTTGGAGAGAAATAGGACTTACTTTTACAATATAAAAAACAGTCAATCTGGGCGTTTTGAGAGAATGGCATACAATCACTGCCTTGTTGTCATGCGTTTTGAGGAGAAGAGATGAAGCAATTCATAGGTTGGCTCCTCTAGAAGGCCCGTAATAGATGCTCATGAGCTGATTTAAAGATCGTCGAAAGGAGCGTCGATTGCGCCGCAGTAGTGCTCAAAATTATCCCAGTTAGACCCTTACTTTTCCAGCCACCAAGTTCTGGAATATAATTGTATCTTTTTGAATCGCTTACCTTCGTTTTGCTAGCATTTTCTATTTTCCATGAAAGTATGCTCCGAAGCTAGCATTTATTCGTGAAAAAGTACTTTAGACTTGAAAATAAGTGACGTTGTCAGTTGTGGTGCTAAATACATTTTTGCCTCATAGGCAATCTCACTATAACATTTGATTTGAGAGAGACCTGGCTTACATTGCAGTTCATTTCGGCCGTTTGATCTAGCAGCACCCGCGTTTGGGTAGCGTAGTGGTGACAGGTCGCCAATATGCTCACGACCTAGTTTGGAGTCAAGTCTGGCTCGCTGATGAAAGTTTGATGAAGACGTGTCTACAGTTCACTTCTGATGGGAAAATATTTTTTGACAAATAGCCAGGTGAAAATGTAATGGCATCGTGAGGCCTACTCATTGCATTATCAGTAATGTCTCTACCACTTTAATTTACCCTATGTGGTTTAGAGAGAATGAAACTCGTGATGTTGTTGAGTCCAAGTTGATCGCAGCCAGAAGAACCCTGAGTGATGTCGCTATGCGCTAGTATTGTATGGTGAAAAAGAAAACAATGGCGATTCTGCATGTGAGAAATTGAAGAAAGACTCAATAGTGCTTTTAGTCATCCTAAAAAACGTAAAGTCTTTAAGTCATACTCAAAACTAATATCAAAAATGATTATTCTCAACTCAGCTAAAATACAGTTCCTACTCAGTCGGCCCCCTAAATAGTTGGACCATGGGTTTGAGTAGGCGAGGGCCTCTTTATCAGACGATCCGAGCTATTCTTGTTTACAAGTCGAGCATGTATGTTAAAGCAACGAGGACTTAAGGGGAATTGGGCTTTCACTTCTGATAAACCTTGCCAAAGTGCCTAAAAAAGGATACCATTTCGCAAGCTCTGACAGAAACAACCTTGCTCAACTCAACTTTTTCGCCTATCCCTATTTTTTCGGCGAGTTTGGCGCTCACTCACTCACTTATTCCCTTACATACACACATACACACACGTAAACACCTATAAACATATACACTCACACACGTAAACACGTGTAAAGATTTGCACACACACACACATACACACACGCATTCACACACCAAAACACGCATAAATACATGCATGCACGCACACAATCATAACCCTCACACATTCACCTGCAAACTGACTTAAATGGCATACAGACTTCTCGCCCAGGTACCTGTTGGAGGGGCTATTCGAGTCTCTCTGCTTCGAGGAATCTCAGCCTCAGACGCACCGGCCCAGGCCCCGGAGCATACTGTTTCCAACTCGGCGCCACCACCCATTTTACGGCCAGTCAACACTTACAGACTGGAGCTTGGACGTCGGCTTGAAGCCGGTCCACCCTCAAGTCATGCTATCACAGCTCCGACGGAAATGAGCTCGGACGGCCTTTGTCCAAATAAGGTCTGCCAGACGAGCACAGCAGCCGACCTCGATGTCCCAGTTGCTCAGCCAGTCACGGCAGGTCGGTACATCCTTGGCACATCCGACCGAACCCAGGCCTCGCTCGAGCAAACTGATGCTCAATCGGTTCATTGTCACGACTCGACCCTGATCGAGAGCCCAGCTAACTTAAAGATTGGTGAACAATTGAGCTCGACCAACCCCACATCTATGGCTTCCTTAGCCATAGCAACCGCGTTTGCGGACAATTGTGATTTAAGGGAGCTAGAATCTGTTGCCACTCGTGCTGGCAGATTGGGCCATGATGACAGCAGGGACGCTGACCTCGCTGACAGAGGCGAAGGGAAAGAAGCCAAAGGCCGTTCATGTGGAGAAGTTGATCCCGGCGGAGACAGTGACCAGGAGCATGGAGAACAAGAGACAGTGACAGAGAGGAATTCCCATCTCTCCAGCGTGGTTCAGCTGCCTGAAAAGCCTTTCGTTTTGGTGCCCTCTGAGGTGGCTACTGTTCCGCTAATTTCGGTCAACTGTGGACTGGTCCAGGCAAGCGCCCTAGCAACTGTATTTGGAGAGGTGAGCCCAGGCTGCTGGTTAAATGTACTAATTTATTTAGCTCACGGGGGCGAGCCAGATGAATGATTGCCCAAGTTTCAGCTTTTTGCATTGTATTGGCCCGGAAAGGGGGGAGTTGAGCCTCTCAGTCCATGAGCCCAAAAGGCTTTGATGGGAGGCGCCTAGTTTTGATAAATCCTACATATTATCCAGTATTATTAGCATCCTAACCTACCAATTAAGCCTTTGTAATCTAGCCGACCAATTAAAATATCACCAACCTCAAATAGACAAATTGACTGATCTCTGCGGAGTGTACTTAGCAGAATAATGTCTAGGCTAGACTGGAACCAGGGCTAGCAACCCTCATAGAAAGCCCAAAAACATTTAACTTTCGGTGTCACCGGTTCTACATCACATGCAGATATTAAAATTGACGCTATTCTTGTTAACAAACACGTATTGGTGACTAATAGGGACCATATCTTTAGGAAGATACATCGATTTTCAAATGTTCTGAGGATCATTGAATATACTTCTGTCATGGGCCTCAAAGGAGCGCACTCAAAATAAATAAACACGTTCGTGGAATATAATTGGGAGATGCTATTAGCTTTACCAGGAAACGAATGCCTTCTCCATACAGCCAAGCAACGGTCAGATTTAAGTAGTGGGTTGACCTCGTTATGGAAACTTGGTCTTGTTGTCAGGGGGACCATGTAGAACGCATCTAGTCCGAAGTCGTCTGCCATAGTAGATAGCATCTGACCGTGGACTTGATACATTCTCAGACGTTTCGCCGGCCTCGTAGTCGGCATCATCGTCTTGATTCCCAGCATCTGACAGTGGACTTGATACATTCTCAAACGTTTCGCCGGCATCGTAGTCGGCATAGCATCTGACCGTGGACTTGATACATTCTCAGACGTTTCGCCGGCCTCGTAGTCGGCATCATCTCATGATTCCCAGCATCTGACAGTGGACTTGATACATTCTCAAAACGTTTCGCCGGCATCGTAGTCGGCAACATCAGTGAGTGCTGTCACTCTCCGCCCTAAGCTACGAACGTGTCAGAGACAAGTGAAGTCAATAGGAGTGAAAGTGTAACCGTTTTCGGCAGAACGTTTGTCGAGGGATTGGCTTCACTCGTCTCTTTGACGAGTTCATAGCTTGGTGT